ACTAGAACCTATGAACTGGGGCGGTCTTAGTAACATTCCGCTAGAAGACCAACAGAACCTAGAGGAGGAATGGGGCTTCTGCAGTTCTCTAGATATTGCTGGAAATGTTGCTGGGCTACAACTCTAGCACTCCTCACCTTTGGCTACACTGCCTGGGAATACTGAGATGTGCAATTTAATGTCTTGAAGAACTGCATTATTTCCATCACTATCACGTAATGTACAAAACAAACCATAAACAAAGTTAAGAACTTGGCATTATACTAAATGTCCTTTGACCAGAAGCTGGCCACCTGGAGAACCTCTGGTGTTGCTGTAAGAAGGTCCTCCATTGTGCATGTGACAGGGCTCAGACTACATTACAGTAGTTGGTCTGTGGTTTGCTCTTCTCCACACTTGTATGTCATGGACTCCACTTTGTAGCCCCATTTCTTAAGATTGGCTCTGCATCTCATAGTACCAGAGCGCAGCCTGTTCAGCGCCTTCCAAGTCGCACAGCCTTCTGTGTGCCCAGGATGGAGTTTCTCATCCGGTATCAGCCACTGATTGATGTTCCGGGTTTTAGCCTGCCACTTTTAGACTCTCACTTGCTGAGATGTTCCTGCGAGTGTTTCTGCATGCAACCAAACAAATTTCCATCACTGATTTAATGGGATTAGAAAATGATAATCCTCCTTTCCCCACTCCTGCCTTCCATGCACCTCCAAAACTGGATCAGAAGAAATAGGAAACCTTCTGGAGCTGATTTTTGGGTGGCACTGAACAGGAATGAAAATTTCTTTGCTGCCTGTTATTAATTTTATTTCCAATTCAGATATTACATACACCTGGCTGTTAATTGTATTGCTTGAGGAAAAAATGTTCCATTTAGAAAAAAATGGTCATCCCCTGACTTTGTGCTATATCTAAATGAGCTCACATAGCAGATGTTAGTCTTGTGGCACCTTAAAACTATTAAATGTTATTTCATATATGACAGTTCCCCTACTATGGAACCATCACTGAGGATGCATCTGCACTAAAGAATTAATGTAGTTTAAAATCACTTTAATTGCTACGGCCGAGTGCTATGGAATCATGGGAGTTGTAGTTTTGTGAGGCATCAGCAGTCCTTGGCAGATTTAAGACCATGTAGAACTACATCCAAAGTGGTTATATAGCGTCGAACCAGGGTGGTTAGTCATTAATTCTACAATGTAAATGAACTTTGACAAATAATGATAAAGATTAAAGGTTATGCATCTAGCGGCTGATGCGTATAAGTTGTTCATATTCAGATTTACAGAATTCCATATGTATATCTAAAATGGGGGAAATTAATATTGAGGGAAGGAGTGGACAAGTATGTGGAATGACTGCTGTGTGTCTGTGTGCACGTGTATGGTGTGCATGTGTGTGTGCTTGTCTTCAGCTCACCTGTCGACTTACAGTGACCCCATGGATTTCTCAGGGAAGGAATATTCAGAAGTGGTTTTGCTGGTATTTATTGGCAGTCTCCCATCCAAATATGGCTGTTACTTACTTACTTACTAATAGATAGCTTGAAGGAATGTGCACAGGAACATTTTTATAGATGTTTTGTAGGGAGCTGAAACAGACTATTAACAGTACGTTGGCTTTAGCCTTTAACACAGCTTGTTCTACAGCTTGAGAGTCAAAGCCTATTGTCTTTTTTGTGGCACTCCTCAGTCTATTCAGTTTTGCTTTATGAGGTATGCCCAAGTCCAAACCAATGCATTCTCCATAAGCACCATAAAATCTAGTGCATTGTGAGTAGACACATATGCAAGTGTATTGTTAGATTACTTTTTAAAGCTGTTTAGTTTTAGAAATCATGCTTCTTTTAAATGGAGCTAAACCAATAAGCTGGCTAAGAGAAACAGCAATTTGGCAAACTTGGAGAAAATATTATTGAGATTAGGTTGTTATGAGTTTTCTGGGCTGTATGGCCATGTTCCAGAAGCATTCTCTCCTGACGTTTCACCTGCATCTATGGCAGGCATCCTCAGAGGTTGTGAGGCTTGTTGGAAACTAGGAAAATTGGGTTTATATATCTGTGGAATGGAAGAAAGAACTCTTGCTTGTTTGAGGTAGGTGTGAATGTTGCAATTGGCCACCTTGATTAACATTTAATGGCCTAGCAATTTCAAGGTCTGGCCGGTTGCTGCATGAAGGAATCCTTTGTTGGGAGGTGATTAGCTGATGCTAATTGTTTCTTGTCTGGAATTGCTCTGTTTTTTACTGTTGTTCTTTATTTACTGTTATGATTTTAGAGGTTTTTAATACTGGTAACCAGATTTTGTTGATTTCCGTGGTTTCTTCCTTTCTGTTGAAACTGTCCACATACTTATGAATTTCAATGGCTTCTCTATGTAGTGCGACATGGTAGTTGTAATTCCATTCACACCTACCTCAAACAGACAAGAGTTTTTTCTCTCACCCTGAACATTCCACAGATATATAGACGCCATTTTCCTAGTTTCCAACAGACTCCTCAACCTCTGAGGATGCCTGTCATAGCTACAGTGATTCCAGCCATGAAAGCCTTTGATTTATTTATTTATTTATTTATTTATTTGTTTTACTTCTATACCGCCTTTCTCAGCCGAAATGGCGACTCAAGACGGTTTACATAGTAAAGGTCAACACAACAACAACAAGAAAGCAGTTAAAACACATTATACAAAACATCAGGTCAAAACAATCATAATCCTAGATATACGCCTCAGCAAACAAATCAGAATCAGAATCCGTAATCATAATCCTTTATGCCAATTCCTCTGATCAATTGTACCATATTACTGTATTTCATTGCATTATTTAGCCAAACGCTTGTTCGTAAAGCCAAGTCTTGACCTTCCTCCGGAATGCCAGCAGTGAAGGGGCCTGTCTGATGTCCACAGGTAGGGCGTTCCATAGCCGAGGGGCCACCACCGAGAAGGCCCTGTCTCTCGTCCCCGCCAACCGCGCCTGCGATGCGGGCGGGACCGAGAGCAGGGCCTCCCCAGACGATCTTAATGTCCTGGTCAGTTCATAGGAGGAGATGCGTTCGGAGAGGTAGGTAGGGCCAGAACCGTTTAGGGCTTTGATAATACTATTGAGATTGCTGACAAGATTTCATTGTCTATGGATCCAGTCCCCGATATTTGTCAAAGTCCAAATCCATTGACATAATCTATAATATATGCAAAAACCAAGAATACATGATGTCACCTTTGTTATTAAATTGTTATTCTATAGCCAGAAATTATACCGTATTACTAGTGAATAGCAGTACAGTAAAGCAGGGAGAAGTACTTCTTAGAAGTACCATTTGTTCTAAAGGATAAAATGTGAATATTTAATATATTGTTTAAATGATTATTCTGCATTGGATTTTTTTAATTGTATTTTTGTGAGTATGTTCTTGTAATTATTCACACCTCCAAAAGTTTTGCTGCACCATCTTCGTCTTCTTCCTGTTTCCAGAAATCTTGCCCAGGGTCTTCTTTCTTTCTGAAGCTTTCTGTAATACTCTTACAGAGATCCAAGAGCCAGGCTAGACGAAGCTTTGTGTTACAGAAGTAAAATATGTTTGCATCACAGGCTTCCACTGTCCTTGGCACTTGCACATGTTTACCTATTTGTTGTGCTGAAATTATTTAGTCTCACAAATCCTGATTAAACTAAAAGGAGCACCAGTTTGTTTTTAAGACTGTGGTCTTAATAGAAGACAACTGAATACAGCAGGTACTGATGTCTCATATTGCCCAAAATTAGATTCTAATCATTTTAGAAACATCATAGCCATTAAGAAAATTGTGGAATACACCAAAAGGGCAGGAGAAACAAGGATCCACCAATGCAGCTAGGATCTAGATCTGCCCAGATGACTTAGGGAAGAAATAAATATCCCCCAGTGCTCACATTGAGCATGGAATTATAATTCATTCCTCCCAGTGGCACATTCCTCCCTTGTGCCGGCAGTACTGCTGAGCAGCACAGCAGTTCGAATCTGAGGAGAGCAGTTTGAGTTCCCTCTGTCAGCTTCAGCTCCCCATTCAAGGACATGAGAGAGCCTCCCACAAAGATAGTAAAACATCTGAGCGTCCCCTGGACAACGTCCTTGCAGACGGCCAATTCTTTCACACCAGAAGCGACTTGCAGTTTCTCAAGTTGCTCCTGACATGAAAAAAAAAATCCCCCCACTCCTTTTGTTTTATTATGAGGTTGTATACATTTTAGAAAATCTTTTAGATTTTGTTAATATGTGAAAACCTTAATGAGTGAGCACGCTTTACAAGTACATGGTATTATGATATGTGAAATATGTGATCAAGAGCAATGAGCACTTGGTTCCTTCCTAGAAAAGTAGAATCTTTTAAAACAAACTCTACTAGGGGCAGAAATGAAGAAGAGTAAATATACTGTAACCACATTATTTCTTGATTCAGTTACTGTCATTTTGCAGGGGAAATTCTTCCTTCCATCTATAGGTTGATGGGTGTGTTTTAAAATATCCCCAAAAAGCTGTCAGTGGACTTAATACTCTAACACAATCTGATTTGTACCCTACTGTCACATAATTGACCCTTTCAATTGCTATTGTTGACAAGTTTCACTGTTTGAAAACATTTCTTGGTGGAATCATCACTCTCCTGCTTCTCACTTTTCTCTTTTTTTACCAGTAGTTCTCATTAGTGATAAATTTGAATGGCTATAACTATGTATGGCAATTAATAAATATTTTAGTATACTCATTAGATTGTGTATCATGATTCAATACACTGAGGACTGATTCTTTATAAAGCTTTGTTGGACATGATCAATAAAACAGCTTCTCTCCCCCCTCACTTTTTTTTTATTCCTTTTTATTGATGAGCTTGCCCAGCTACCCCAGTTCTGTTCGGTGCATTCTTGCTTGCAGTGGGGCTGCAGTGATGGTATCTTTGCGCCAACGAAGAATGGTTTGGGCGCCTGGCTGGGTACGTGATTGTAACATGAGAGGGAAGAGTTGGTTCTTACAGGTTAGCAAGCAAGTAATCGACCAGTCCACACCGAGGCATGCGTCCCGACATGGCATCCGTTTGCTGTTTCTCGTAGTACTTCATTATCTCCTGAACGATGTCTCCCACGCTGTATCCCTTCTTGGATGCTTTATCAGCCAGCTGAGGGAGTTTAGACAATTCCCCATCTTGCTCGTTCATGAATGTCAGGTTTGGCACATTGAATTGTGAAGCAACCAGCCATTGGAGCACAGCTTGCAGCTCTCTGTTTTGGGCGCTGTTGTTGCAGTTCTGATTATTAACAATAACTTCAGAGCCTGAACCAACTAATGGCCTGCCATATCTCCCGTCAGAGTCACTGCCGTTAGCCATCAACATGCACAACTTCATCACAGATTCCACCAGTTGGTCAATAAACTGCTTGTTTATCTGTTCCATGTCATAATCTGCTCCCCCGTGTGATTTTGATGAGCCTCTTTGAGGTCTGCTGTCTACAAAAGTAGGCTGTATTTTATAACCCCTGTCACTGGTGCTCTCATCTGCAAAACCGGCTTCTCTAAGTACTTTCTGGATGATGGACAGCAGGATACTTGAAATGTCACCTTTTTGGGATTCCAAGTGATCCATCCTGCCCCCTCCTTGCTGCCTTGCGTTGTTGAACTTGCCAGATCTGTCATGGACATAGCCAAATGATGTAGTTTGTGTCTCACGCATTGCTTGTTCCTTGTTTTTTTCTAGGAGGTGTTGCTGGATTAACATTAATGCTGTTATAATAAGGTCTTTAGCATACACGTCCATTGAACAGTGCTTGTCTGCACCTTTGCTTCCAGATGGAAGGGGCTTGTATGGTCCATTTCCTTTGCCGCAGCCTCCACGCATTTCGCTTTTAAGTGATGCAAACTGGAGTCCCTGCATTCTGGAGTCTGTTTGAGCACCTGCTTTCAGTGCTGCGAAGGCTAGGCTATGAGATTTTTTATCATCCCCTGCCAGTGCTTTGAATAAGCGTTTCACCATTGCTTCCAGGATTTCAGTTGACTTCTGTGTTCCTGCATTGAACAGGTTCTTCTTTACGGTGTTCACAAAGTCTGAGTCAGTCATGAGTACTCCTGTGACGTTGTGAAGGTTCTTCATGGTGGAGTCAATTAAGTCAGAGATTACATCTCTGGTATGTTTCAGGAGTACTTTCTTCAACACCACACATGCTGGTGGGGGATGCTTGCCTTTTTGAACTTTCATAGTTTTCATGAATGAAAACATCATATCAGATGCAACCTGGTTTGCATAGACCATCAGTCCTTTGCTTACGGAGGCATCATCTTGTCCAGGCGGTTTCCTTTCACTCATTTGTCTGTCTGATCCCCCTGGCCTGTAGGCATTCTGATTACATTGGTTCATTTCTCCATAAAAGAGTGATGCTTTTCTGGGATCATCATGGGATGACTTAGGGGATAATTCCCCCCTTCCACCAGATCCACGAATTGACTGCCGAATACATTTACCACTGCTTTCAAATTTATCCTTCATTTCTTTATGTGCCATTTGAACCACTAAAGAACACAACTTGTTAACGTAATATGAAAGATCATCTCCTCTCTGGTTACCGGAGCCCCGGAAGGCTGTGTCGCTGCTTTGGGACATCTTGTTGCGTTTAGGCGAATCGTATGCTGATTTATGAGGGCCTGAGGGGGTTAGTGCATGCTGGAACCCAACTGCGTATTTCTGAAGGTCGTTGCTGAGCCAGCTGACAACGTTGACTTCGTCAGAGGACCCTTGTTTGAAAAGGCAGACTGCTCCTTCGGAATTACTGTGGTTATCTCTCTCGTTGTCTTTTATTACGATGACTTCCTGTTCTTCAAGATTACGCAGATCAAGGGAAGGGTCTGGTGGGCAAGGTACTCTCTTCTTTTTGTCTTTTATATTAAGACTGGCAACATCAACGAAACAGATGACTTTGCGGTCGCGGTCGCTTGGCCCCTCTGGGCTATAGAGGTCTACTTTGCAAAGGCCGGTTTGACTGTGTAACCAGTCAATCTCTTGTGCCATACTATTCGTCCGAAACCAGAATTGTACCTCCGGATGCGGAGCGTTCTTCTTCCAGATTTTGCTGACCCTGCCCCACTCAAGATGTTGCCTCCTCTCTCAGCTTTCCATGCTCTTGTACTGGCTGGTGGCATTTCCATTTGTGTGCACATATGGTTTCTATGGCAGCAGTGACATCACAAAGCATGAATATCACCCACCAACCAATGATGCCCTGGACATGCTGAACACAAGATTGCTTTGCATTTCTCACCTCTTTGCCTGCACTGAAACCATATTCAAAATATTTTGAGTCATAATTTTGAGTAGCAGATCAAAAAATAGGAAATAACATTTTTGCTTCCTAAATATCTCTGTCTGACTATCCCCTTTCAAAACAATACCAAGAAAGTAGACAACACCACTTATCTGAGACATTCTCTATTTTTCTATAAATAAATATATTTTGTTGTATTCTCACAAAGCTCAGTGTGATATTGATATGAAGGTTTATTAAGATTAAGTTTATTATTCTTATTTCTTATATAGGGCCTTTGGTTTTAAGGTTATAGTGACCTCACGTCAAAGAAATCTTACCAGTTTTCTCCCACCTTTTTTATTTCTGCCTTTGATTCCTCTTTGCTTGGAATTTTCTTTCTTTTCATTAATAAACACTCTGAAGCGTTCAATATATAAGTTGTATATCTTTAAAATAGGATTGTGGTTTGAACAAGGATAGCTTCTTGAACTACTTACAATATCTATAGATGTGTGCGATGGAAATGAATAAAAAGAACTGCCAACTAGATTTCTGCTTTTCATTTATTTTGTTGACAGTATTTATGTGTCTTGCAAGTAAAATTATTGAAGGGCAATGCATAAAAGATTTTAAAGAGTAAACACAAAATTTCAGATAATAGAAAACATACCTGTTCAATTAATACCCTTCTTCTAGCCAAATCAGACATATGTACCATCATCCCAAACAAAAAGATCGTGAAGTGTTTTTGAAAGATTCTTGCTTTGACGATCATCTGCAAGGGAAAGGATTCCATAGTTAAGGAGCAGCTTAAGTATTTCTCTATTTGTCAAGTCATTGTGACTTGCACTTTTATTTTTGAGAATTGAGATGCAAAACCTGAAAAACATGATAATGAGGTGACAAGTTCAGTTTTAACCATGGTTGTTGCCATACAAGGACAGAAAGATTGTTGCCTGAAGCCAACATGAGTAGAAAACCATATTATGGAGGTAGCATTGAAATATTATGTGATTCTGGCTAAGCACCAGAAAGGAGATGTGATAAGCTGGTCAAGAAGTCCCTTATGATGATGGATTAACTACTATTATTTGTACTGAGCTAGGAACCAATAATAGATATTCAATCTGTTATTGATAGACTGGAGTTTGTGGATGTATTTTAATTCCTCTGTTTATCTTTCCAATCTTTTCTTGTAGTTCTGTTGTTTTTGTTGTTCACCGGTCAGAGAAAGAATGTCCAAGAAGATTGAAGTGTTCTGCAACTTGTTTTTGTGCGTTCCCATTCTTAGTGGTTTGTGTTAGTTTATTCTTTGGTGCGGAGCTGTTTGAATGACTATAATGCGGTCTATGTGGCGCTCACAAATTTGGGAAATGCTCACAAATTTCAGTTGCCCCAAACGGCTGCAGCCAGATTGTTAACTGGGGCTGACTATAGGGAGCAGATGACTCTCTTGTTACAACATCAATTTCTGGGCTCAATTCAGAGTGGTGCTTTTGACCTATAAAGCCCTAGGCAACTTGGGTCTAGGCCATTATAAGGACTATATCTCCCCATATGAATCCAGTAGAACTAAGAGCAGTGGTCTCAGCCTGTGGGTCCCCAGGTGTTTTGGTCTACAACTCCCAGAAATCCCAACCTGTTTACCAGCTGTTAGGATATCTGGGAGCTGAAGGGCAAAACATCTGGGGACTCACAGGTTGAGAACCACTGATCTAGAGAAACACTTCTCTCTCCCAACTCCTTATCAGGCTTGGTTGGTGGCAACAAGGGAGAAGGCCTTTATTATAGCTGCTTCCAGACTTTGAAATTCTCTTCCTGGAGAGGCTAGAATGGCCCTGTCCTGGCTGTCTTCTAAACAAGTCAAAACATTTTTATGCCTTTAGGCTTTTGCATCCTGACAAAGGTTAGGCTTTTAATGCTGCACATTGTTTGTATTAAATGTCTGAAGGTTAGATAACAGGTGTTTTGGACTTCAGCTCCAAAACAGCAGTAGGCTATTAGAAATTGTGAGAGTTGAAGTCTAAAACACTTGGAGAGCCGAAGTTTGTCCATGCTTGTTATATAAATACGTTTAATGCATATTAATATTTATACATTTCAATAGTTAACCATCAGTACATTTTTGCTATATATTTCATACATTTATTGTAGAAACTGTATCTTTCACTGAGAGTGAAAGTAGATTTTTATATAAGGTAAACATAGACAATGAATGGAGGGTGAGTCCTGATTAGTACTTAGGTGTGGGACCACCAACTAATACTTCCAGGTGCTGTAGGCTATATTTCAGGGAAAGAAACTGACAAACCATCTCAGAGTATTATTATTATTATTATTATTATTATTATTAAACTTTATTTGTACCCCGCTAGCATCTCCCGCAGGACTCGATGCAGCTTACAAAGGCCAAGGCCCCAACAACAATACAACAATACAAACCTAAGCAAATTAAAATAACTAAAGCAATCTAAAACAACAAGCAATAAACAATCCATTAAGACACAATAAAACTGGGCCGGGCCAGAGTAAGGGTACAAGGGTTAAAAGTGCTGATGTGACAGGTGGAAATGGGGCTTATGGACAAGTATTCCTTTCTTAAGCAAGCCCTATGAAATTCATGGAATTGTCATAAGTCAATATGTACACACTGAGATATTGCAATAGAGAAGTGTTATATGTAACAAAATAGATACTGTAATGTTCAGTTTCAAAATGTTTCTATTGGGTCTCACTA